GGGGGATGAAAAGAAAGAAAAAGGAAAGAAAAGAAGAAACAACTTTATCACATTTGTTATGCTTTTATGCATAGACTATGGCAGAGAATCTAAAGACAACTATTAAAAACAAAACATTCAAAATATACTTGAAAAAAAATAGTATTTTATACACTAGTAAGAATCAATTAGTATCAAACTGGTTTTAAGAAAAATTAATTAGAGCAATCACTCTCTAAGGTACATAGAATTAAACTAGCAAAAGATACCTAAGACTTATGAACAAAAGTTATAAAGTTATAGAAAAACAAAAATAAATATACAAAACAAAAATAAATATATGTTCATGGATAGAACAAACATGCTAAACGTAAATTTTCTCTCCATGTTCAAATTTCAAAAAAAATCTCTACTGGATATTATATGGAGCTTGATAAACTGATCCTAAAATCCATATACAATATAAAGGGTGAGAATAACGAAGATAACTTGGAAGAAGAAAAGGGACCAGCTTACCAATTATCAAGACATTTTGTAAGTGACTACAACAAATAAAGTGTGTCACTGATACAATAGATAAATAATGCAATAAAAGAGAAAACCCAAATGATCCACCCTCAAGATGGAAATTTGATGTGTGAATGAAGAGTCTTACAAGTCAGTGGAAAATAGATTCAATAAATGACAAAAGTATATCCCTATATCAAACCAACATAAAATAAATTATATATAAATTTTAAAACTATTTATGAAATGTAAAGGCTTAAAACTGATTAAAAAAAGTAGGGTTGTATTTTTCTCAGGAATGGAAAGATTTACTAGACACTAAAAAAAAGGTATTAATCAAATGAAAGACGGCTAAAATTGAATACATTAAAATCAGAAACATGGGCTGGGTTGTAGCTCAGTGGTGGAGCACTTGCCTTGCTTCTATGAGGCATTGGGTTCAATCCTAAACACCACATAAAAATAAATAAATTAAATGAAGGTATTGCATCCATCTATAACTAAAAGACAATTTTTTAAAAAAATCAGAATTTTTTTTAAAAAATAATAATGATAAAAGATGGAAAAACTGGTCTATAAGAAGTAAAATGAGTTACTCAAGGTTATGTTAGTAAGTAGAAGTGCCATGATTCAAATAAATTGCTTTTTGATGTCAATGTTCATTTATTTTACATTCCTTTTAATTTATAATTATACAATTATCATACATTATATTCTTTCATGAAAATTGAATAATACAAGGAAAATAGAAATACCTTTTACCATTTCCCCCAATTCTAATTTCCAATCTATTCCCTAGATTTGTATATATCCTTTCAGGCTTTTATTCTTAGGCTTATGAATATAGAAAAATATAAGTGCATTGTTTTAGTGGTTTTATACCTAACTGCTCAGCAACTTTTCTCTTAAAAAGATGTCTTAAGGAGCTTTCCATTATATATGTATCAGCATTCATTTATTCAATTTTCTATTAATAGACCTTTAGACTGCTTTAAATATTTTGTCCCTTAAGGCGCATAAACAGTTTAGAGATCTCAAATAGATTTTCTATCTCATAATGAATAAAAAACATATATGTTTAAAAAAGTTGATGATGCTATGTTTCCCATAATGGCATATATATGTATTATTTAGTGCCTTTTCCATTACTTGATATTACTAATGTTTTTAACTTTTAATATTTTGTCAAACTTGATGGGGGAAAATGATACATTGTATTTCCCTAATTGTTAGTGAAGCTGTTTCCTCCTTACTTCCAAACACTGCTTTCTACAGGTAATAAATAAAAATATCTTTCATCTTTTTAACTCTTTTCTAGCATATTGACGTTCATATTTCTAAGTATATTTATATTGCTATTTCTTGCCTTATTAGACATTACTATTGATTCTTTACTACAAATGATGAAAATTTAATACAAGTTCTTTATATATTCTGCATGTTCATTATTTGCCTATTATATGGGAAATATTACCTCCTAATTTGCTGTCAATCTCTTATTATGATCATCTTGAAAATTTTCATCCTGAAAACTTTTAGGTTTTATGTGTCCCTACTCCATAGTAATAATCTACATGCTATAATTTCCTTAAAATACTTTATGACCTATAATTTTAATGTTTATGTATTTTCTACTCTGAAATTTATTTCTTTGAGCAGCATAAGATAGAGGTTTACTATTTTTCTTCAAAATGGCTAGTCAATTCGTCAAGATTGATTATTTAATAAGTTAATTATGTATTCAAATACCTTCTCTAAAATGTACAAAACTTCCCAAAATACCTGAACCATTTCAGGAATCTATTCAGATCCATTGGTCTTCTAGTATATCATTGCACCAATATCACACTGTACTTTTTTTTCAAGAATGGAGTCTCTTAAAAACTTTCTTTCTCTCATGAATTTTAAAAGTATCTTGTGAATTCTACATAGTACATAAACTCTGTTCACACCTAACTGGAATCTATTCCATTTATGGATCAATTTAAAAAGTCCAATGTTGATATATTGGATGGACTTGCTTTTCAGATTTAATTTTTGTAGGATAACTCATTATTGTAATAAATTTAAGTCAGTTTCTATTCTTAAAAATAAACAAAAATCAAACCTACACTAAATAATTTATTCATTTTCTATAGGATTTAATAAAAATTATGCACTTAAACATAGTACTTATAGTGGTAATGATGCTTTAGATTCTTTCATGTTATCTACTTTGTTTCCTTCCCATCAAAGGCAAGTTATGAAATAATCAAGATGAACAGGATTATTTCTGTACTCTGATAACATTTTCTACATTTTCTATAATAGTACTTATTTATGAAATCAAAATTGGCTAATTTACATTATTTAACGTTGGTCATTTATCACTGCTAAACTTTAATAACAGAGACAAATGACATTGATAATCATAAGTTTAAGCATAGAATATTTGAAAATGAAAGCTGTTTTACATGTTACCTTCCTCAAAATTCCACGAGTATTTACCAAACTTAGCTTTAGGTGAAACTCAAGACTTAATTAAGAACCATAATTAGCACAAGTAATCCATTCACTCATTCATTTATTAGCTCATTCATACAGTCAACAAATTTTAAGTTTTAGATTACACTGAATGTTATGAATGCTAGATATTAGACATGAAATAAAAATAAAAAAAATCTGTTCTCAAGAATGAGTAAAATAAAAATAACAGTATTGTACTCACTTTGCCTTCATCTCTTGGGCTATCACTTAAATGTACAACAGGACCTGGATGAGTCTTGGTGGACCTGTTAAATCAATTCAAAACAGCAATCAAAAAATAAATACTAAAATACCTGACCATTACACACTGAATAAAGAAAATAGATTATGATGGAATAAACTGACAATATTCTGTGATTAAAATGAGATTAATTGAGTTTTTGGTTTTTTTCCACAAAGTTCTGTTCTTTATCCTATTAATGCTTTTGAAGTAGTTGTTATTTTTTAAAAATCAGATTTAAGAACACTGATCCACATAAAAATGGGACTTTTATTATCATATTATGATTAAATTGGCATAATTTTAAGCATCCATGAAAGATTCTTCACAAAACAATAAAGAATATTTAAGTCTTAGATATTATTTGGAATCAGAGAAAAGGGCCAAATTAATTAATTCTAATTCCCCTAATACTGACTCCTCAGAGTGATCCATAGGAATAAATACAGATTCATTAGACATTGATAAATATTTTTAGTGGATTCATTCTAAATTTTCTTATCTATACATGGAGAGAAATAGCACTGACCACCCTAGATAATTGTGAGGATTAAAATTATATTCATATAGGATAAGAGTGTGGCTCAGTGGAAAAGTACTTGTTTAACAGGCAAAACAGTAAATATTCAACAAATACTACATACTATGATTATTGTGATAATTAGAAATCAGAGTTATGACTTGCATTCTAGAATATATGATGGAAGAAAAACTAAATAGGGATTCATAAAAGGTTTAGAGAGATTTTGGTAGTTCTTTTCACATTTCTATGTAACATACCAATTATACATAAGTGAAGTGTTCTATAACAGATATAAATGATTCTGATAAAGGTCAATGTTCTTAAGTTATCCTTTAAAATCTAATAATAGCCAATAAATCAGAATCCCCTATCTGACCCATAGGCTTGATTGCACCATATTTACCAAAGTACCCTACAATAACTATTAGAGTTACAAGATGTTTCACATAAAGAGTATTCCATATTTAAAAGTTCGGGACACTGAATTAAAGCAATTTTTTTCCTATGGAACCTCTTAGAGTATGTACTATGCAAATGGGCATTGCAAATTGGCAATATTTTCCAAAATTATTGGTATATTAAATCCTGTTCCATTGGTTCTATTAAGGGAATCACTGAAATATACTTTGGGAAACAGCAAGGTGCTTCCTTTCAGACCCTGAGACTGTATAACATGCTACTTTAGAAAATAATCTAGCATTAAACTTCTGTTATTTGTAATAAAATTTTTAAGAAGAATTTTTTTAACTTAAAAGACATCAAAACGTAAGGGAAAAAAACGTTTCCACACTATTACCTAAACTATCTATATTTTGGCATACTATGTATGACTTTTTCTCTAACTATTAAACTGTCAAAACTCACAAAACACTACTATCAGAACTTATGGTCATGAGAAATCAACCTAAAAAATATAAAAGCATTTGTGGACTCTAGATTCTGAAAATTCCACAAAATTTATTTTGGACAGAATTACCAATAAACTTAAATTCATGTAACAACACCTAATTAATGCCCAGTAATTCTTCTAGATATATCCTTACTTAGCTTCCTCCCATTCACTACAACAACTTCTTGATAGTTATACTGTAGACTTTTCATCATTGAATATTAAATATTAATATTCCTTGGTATTCTGTCCTAGGCTGTCATCTATTATCATAAAACTCATGATCATGAATTTAAAAGCCCAGAGGAACAAGGCAGGTATTGCATATGTTCAGGCTGAACTGTCCCAGGATAAATGTTTTTAAAAATAAGCAATAGTGGAACATTAGAACAAGTAAGAATAAAACAGCTCATAACTGATTACATTGAAAACATAAATGAAAGTTGGAAATTAATAGTAGTGTGTAACTATCACATTAATGTCAATCAGTAGCCACTGTGGAATGCATCAAAATTAAAATATGTATATATATACACACACACACATATAAAGAAAAATAAAAGAACAATATGCAAAGATTGTATTCTAGAGCAGTACTTCATGTAATGTGGGAGGGACAACTATCTCAAATAAATGACCCTTTAGATCAGAATAAAAGAAATGTAACAAGAGTATAACTAGTAACAACTTCCCTATCAAGCAATGTACATGCATATTAAACATTAGAATTAGAAAATATTTATTGTAAAGGCCAAAGTCAAGCTTCATAACACCACAATGTTTCAATCAGAATTTTGGAGTATACTTTGGAACTTGTTATACATATGAGAGAAAATGAGCTAGCCTCAAGTCAAACATATCTTATTAAGGACCTAATAATACATAGAGAACATAAACATTTGTTAAATAAAAATTGCTTTCTGAATAACCCAGGATAATTGCTTTTCAATTTACTAAAATAGATGGCTTAAAATTCCAAAAAGTTTCACATTTGGCACATTTCATGTTTTCTATGTGCAGAAACTTAAATATTAGTGCTTAAAGCCTGAGCAGTGATTACTATTGACCACATACCAAAAAAAAAAAAAGCTGTGTGTATCACAAAATGAGAGATTTTGATAAAATGCTGCTACCAGTATTAAAAAAGTATTAAAAAGCATTATTAAAAAGCATGTGCATTGAACATGAAAATTTTTACATAAAACAATTCATTCCCACCAAAAGTGGTTACACCAGAGTTGATCATAACACCAGATGCTTTCCATGTTTAACCTGTGGAATGATCCTATTTTATCATCAAACTGGATATGCGTGTGTGTGTGTGTGTGTGTGTGTGTGTGTGTGTGTGTGTGTGTGTTATGGAAAACTTCAAATTAACATATTAATACTACCAAATATATTTTTTAAATCATTTAGGGTTTTATTTTGGCTGAAATTTTCATTCAAATTAATTATAAAATAGCAATAGATGTGTCAAATAACTCTCATCAATATAATTACATAATTATATAAAGTATTTAAGCCAAATAAAATTATATTCAAATTCAAACTTACAGTTCAATTGCCTTGTTCCACATGATAACATATCCAGAAAGAATGAAAGATTCAATATTTACAATATGTGTATTTCCTCTTTCTGTTCCAACATAGAGCCACTTACTCTGGAAAGGTAGATGACAGTAAGTAATTCTGAAAGAAAGAAAATTATAATTAAAATATCTAAATTTTATATCTGCTCAGCAATATCTTTTCCTTGTAATTATTAGGTATTGATAGCTATGTATACCATAAGATTTACTATATGCTAAATTAGTATTTAGTTATTAGTAAGAAGATATGGAATAAATAACATTGGATATCATTAAAAACTATAATCACAAGTGTCTATATATATGAATTTACATTATTTCTTTTTAAAACTTTTAACATAAAAGTATATATTAATAAGGTATCATGTAATAGTCAATACATGTTTACAGTGAATAATGTTTAAATTAGGGGAAACATCTATTCCCTCAAACATTAATCATTTCTTATGGAGAATAACATTAAAAAATCCTTTCTGCTAGCTTTGTGAAATGTACACTACATTTATTATTATCTGTAATCATCATTTTGTACATTAGCACCCCAGAGTTTCTTGCTTCCATCTAACTGAAACTAAGTATCCATTAGTCAACCTCTCCATATTCCTCCCTGCCTTCTTTGTCCCAGCCTCTGGTAATCACCATTCTATTCTCAACTCCTATGAGAAAATAGCACTACAAAACAGATATATATTTCTGTTTTATGAAGAAGAAACAGAGGCAGTTTTTTTTTTTAATTTTACTTGCCTAAGACCAAAATTACCTCTTTCTACCAGGCCATACTGTTCATTATTTAGATAAGATTAACTTCAAATAGAAATTATGTACATATAAAACATAAATTTCAGAGTTCACAGAGAAGTGGTAGCTATATCAACATAAAACTATAAATTATTTACAGTTTCCAAATATGTAGCACTTTCTAGTAAAAAAAAAAACTTGAAAGGTCAGAGATCCACTGTATTCTTCCATAACTCTTATTGTTCTCTTGTTTCCCCAAAGGGCTTTCTGACCAGCTTTGGGATATGCTCCATAGCCAGAGAAACCATGACTCTTACATAGTAAATGCAAGAGTTTACCAGAGTTTTCAATTCACAACATAATCAGACTCTCTAGTTTGGCCTAATTGTACTCTGTAGTACTATGTCTTAAAACTTGAGAATAAGTTCATAGTTATTTCTTGCTAAAACATCTTGTTGATTAAAAGGTCCTAAAATTTACTTAGAAGAGAAGCCAGTAAATTGGCAAAAGAGCTGAACAAAATTCTGACACTAGACAGATCAATTTTTTAAAAAAAGAATGTGAATGATCAATTTATAACATGATTCCATCTTGTAACCATTTGGAATCTCCAATTTATATTCTCTGTTTTGTTCCCTGAATTTTTAAACAACTTCCCTCTTGTAACTAAACTCCACCTATTCAAGTATCCTACTGATAACATCCTACATCTAAAATGCTAAAAGTCCTGCTATCACATAAGCAATTAGAGTTAACTGACAATATCATTAATGTGTAAACTGTAAGACACTGGGCAATTTTGATTAAAACTTAACGTCTAGAACTAATGTCCACAAAGGGATATCTAATAACAATGCATAGGAAATAATATGATGGTCATGTTTCTAGGCAATGAAAGGTCAATTTTCAATTCAATCTTCAGTAGGAAGAAGAGGAAATTAATTTCAAAGAGGATTTAAGATCCTCTTTTGAATCATAGGAAAACTATAGAAAATCTACAAATGAAGACCTAAATACAGAGTTTCAAATAAAAACAAAGGAAGATTCAATATTACATGTATATTTCAGGGATTAACAAGAAAAGTCTAAAAACTCTAGTTTCAGAAATGAGAACTGAATCAAGAGGTAGAATTCCAGTGTAAACAGACTTTGTAGTACAATAACAATTAAATACATGAAGAAGATCATAACAAGAATAGAAATAACCCTTGAACGACCAACTACATTGTTTTCTGGTCTAAGGAGAAACTAGAGCCTTAGTGACAAAAAGGTGTCACCTTCTATACAACGTCCAATGTGAATGTAGTGATTAATTTGACTATTTAACAAAGATTTCTAGGCTACCAGAACTAATTAGAAAAGAGTAGTGTGATGTACTTAGGATGATTGACATAGGTAAGGGAGAGGGCATGGTTATACTTATGCTGTATATTTGATAATCCTAATAATTGATATCTTTATATAATTTAATTAATTATATTTAATAGTTATCCTTAATATGTAACTTATTTCTACTACCACCACTTGCTGAATGAAGAATTTTTTGTAGTTGCTACATGTGAGCCTTGAAAATTATTCTTGTTTCTATGTTTGTATTTTCTCATTTTATAATAAAAGGACATTCTTAATCTTCCATATATTCATCTATTCAACTTTCACTGAATAACTCTTAATATAAAGCATTGTTCTACATTATGACACACATATTTCTTTTCCCTCAAAAAATCATACTACCTAATGAGAAATAAAATAAGTAGACAAATAAGAAAAATAAGAGTAAAGTGTGTTGATTTTTATAGAGAGTTCAAAGGGAAAATTTATTACAGCAAGGAAAATCGAGGAAACCTACTGTACCTCCATTTGAATCAGACCATTAGAGACCAAAGCACAA